TCATCATCATCATCATCATCATCATCATCATCATCATCATCATCATCATCATCATCATCATCATCATCATCATCATCATCATCATCATCATCATCATCATCATCATCATCATCATCATCATCATCATCATCATCATCATCATCATCATCATCATCATCATCATCATCATCATCATCATCATCATCATCATCATCATCATCATCATCATCATCATCATCATCATCATCATCATCATCATCATCATCATCATCATCATCATCATCATCATCATCATCATCATCATCATCATCATCATCATCATCATCATCATCATCATCATCATCATCATCATCATCATCATCATCATCATCATCATCATCATCATCATCATCATCATCATCATCATCATCATCATCATCATCATCATCATCATCATCATCATCATCATCATCATATCATCATCATCATCATCATCATCATCATCATCATCATCATCATCATCATCATCATCATCATCATCATCATCATCATCATCATCATCATCATCATCATCATCATCATCATCATCATCATCATCATCATCATCATCATCATCATCATCATCATCATCATCATCATCATCATCATCATCATCATCATCATCATCATCATCATCATCATCATCATCATCATCATCATCATCATCATCATCATCATCATCATCATCATCATCATCATCATCATCATCATCATCATCATCATCATCATCATCATCATCATCATCATCATCATCATCATCATCATCATCATCATCATCATCATCATCATCATCATCATCATCATCATCATCATCATCATCATCATCATCATCATCATCATCATCATCATCATCATCATCATCATCATCATCATCATCATCATCATCATCATCATCATCATCATCATCATCATCATCATCATCATCATCATCATCATCATCATCATCATCATCATCATCATCATCATCATCATCATCATCATCATCATCATCATCATCATCATCATCATCATCATCATCATCATCATCATCATCATCATCATCATCATCATCATCATCATCATCATCATCATCATCATCATCATCATCATCATCATCATCATCATCATCATCATCATCATCATCATCATCATCATCATCATCATCATCATCATCATCATCATCATCATCATCATCATCATCATCATCATCATCATCATCATCATCATCATCATCATCATCATCATCATCATCATCATCATCATCATCATCATCATCATCATCATCATCATCATCATCATCATCATCATCATCATCATCATCATCATCATCATCATCATCATCATCATCATCATCATCATCATCATCATCATCATCATCATCATCATCATCATCATCATCATCATCATCATCATCATCATCATCATCATCATCATCATCATCATCATCATCATCATCATCATCATCATCATCATCATCATCATCATCATCATCATCATCATCATCATCATCATCATCATCATCATCATCATCATCATCATCATCATCATCATCATCATCATCATCATCATCATCATCATCATCATCATCATCATCATCATCATCATCATCATCATCATCATCATCATCATCATCATCATCATCATCATCATCATCATCATCATCATCATCATCATCATCATCATCATCATCATCATCATCATCATCATCATCATCATCATCATCATCATCATCATCATCATCATCATCATCATCATCATCATCATCATCATCATCATCATCATCATCATCATCATCATCATCATCATCATCATCATCATCATCATCATCATCATCATCATCATCATCATCATCATCATCATCATCATCATCATCATCATCATCATCATCATCATCATCATCATCATCATCATCATCATCATCATCATCATCATCATCATCATCATCATCATCATCATCATCATCATCATCATCATCATCATCATCATCATCATCATCATCATCATCATCATCATCATCATCATCATCATCATCATCATCATCATCATCATCATCATCATCATCATCATCATCATCATCATCATCATCATCATCATCATCATCATCATCATCATCATCATCATCATCATCATCATCATCATCATCATCATCATCATCATCATCATCATCATCATCATCATCATCATCATCATCATCATCATCATCATCATCATCATCATCATCATCATCATCATCATCATCATCATCATCATCATCATCATCATCATCATCATCATCATCATCATCATCATCATCATCATCATCATCATCATCATCATCATCATCATCATCATCATCATCATCATCATCATCATCATCATCATCATCATCATCATCATCATCATCATCATCATCATCATCATCATCATCATCATCATCATCATCATCATCATCATCATCATCATCATCATCATCATCATCATCATCATCATCATCATCATCATCATCATCATCATCATCATCATCATCATCATCATCATCATCATCATCATCATCATCATCATCATCATCATCATCATCATCATCATCATCATCATCATCATCATCATCATCATCATCATCATCATCATCATCATCATCATCATCATCATCATCATCATCATCATCATCATCATCATCATCATCATCATCATCATCATCATCATCATCATCATCATCATCATCATCATCATCATCATCATCATCATCATCATCATCATCATCATCATCATCATCATCATCATCATCATCATCATCATCATCATCATCATCATCATCATCATCATCATCATCATCATCATCATCATCATCATCATCATCATCATCATCATCATCATCATCATCATCATCATCATCATCATCATCATCATCATCATCATCATCATCATCATCATCATCATCATCATCATCATCATCATCATCATCATCATCATCATCATCATCATCATCATCATCATCATCATCATCATCATCATCATCATCATCATCATCATCATCATCATCATCATCATCATCATCATCATCATCATCATCATCATCATCATCATCATCATCATCATCATCATCATCATCATCATCATCATCATCATCATCATCATCATCATCATCATCATCATCATCATCATCATCATCATCATCATCATCATCATCATCATCATCATCATCATCATCATCATCATCATCATCATCATCATCATCATCATCATCATCATCATCATCATCATCATCATCATCATCATCATCATCATCATCATCATCATCATCATCATCATCATCATCATCATCATCATCATCATCATCATCATCATCATCATCATCATCATCATCATCATCATCATCATCATCATCATCATCATCATCATCATCATCATCATCATCATCATCATCATCATCATCATCATCATCATCATCATCATCATCATCATCATCATCATCATCATCATCATCATCATCATCATCATCATCATCATCATCATCATCATCATCATCATCATCATCATCATCATCATCATCATCATCATCATCATCATCATCATCATCATCATCATCATCATCATCATCATCATCATCATCATCATCATCATCATCATCATCATCATCATCATCATCATCATCATCATCATCATCATCATCATCATCATCATCATCATCATCATCATCATCATCATCATCATCATCATCATCATCATCATCATCATCATCATCATCATCATCATCATCATCATCATCATCATCATCATCATCATCATCATCATCATCATCATCATCATCATCATCATCATCATCATCATCATCATCATCATCATCATCATCATCATCATCATCATCATCATCATCATCATCATCATCATCATCATCATCATCATCATCATCATCATCATCATCATCATCATCATCATCATCATCATCATCATCATCATCATCATCATCATCATCATCATCATCATCATCATCATCATCATCATCATCATCATCATCATCATCATCATCATCATCATCATCATCATCATCATCATCATCATCATCATCATCATCATCATCATCATCATCATCATCATCATCATCATCATCATCATCATCATCATCATCATCATCATCATCATCATCATCATCATCATCATCATCATCATCATCATCATCATCATCATCATCATCATCATCATCATCATCATCATCATCATCATCATCATCATCATCATCATCATCATCATCATCATCATCATCATCATCATCATCATCATCATCATCATCATCATCATCATCATCATCATCATCATCATCATCATCATCATCATCATCATCATCATCATCATCATCATCATCATCATCATCATCATCATCATCATCATCATCATCATCATCATCATCATCATCATCATCATCATCATCATCATCATCATCATCATCATCATCATCATCATCATCATCATCATCATCATCATCATCATCATCATCATCATCATCATCATCATCATCATCATCATCATCATCATCATCATCATCATCATCATCATCATCATCATCATCATCATCATCATCATCATCATCATCATCATCATCATCATCATCATCATCATCATCATCATCATCATCATCATCATCATCATCATCATCATCATCATCATCATCATCATCATCATCATCATCATCATCATCATCATCATCATCATCATCATCATCATCATCATCATCATCATCATCATCATCATCATCATCATCATCATCATCATCATCATCATCATCATCATCATCATCATCATCATCATCATCATCATCATCATCATCATCATCATCATCATCATCATCATCATCATCATCATCATCATCATCATCATCATCATCATCATCATCATCATCGTCATCTTCTTCTTCTTCTTCTCCTCTTCCGTTTTCTTATTCTTCTTGTTCTTGTTCTTCTGCTTCTTATAATCCACCTTCCTCTAAACCATCTAATTTCATATCTACATTCTGTCTATGTTGCATATTCTCGCAGCTAATCTTGCTTTGACCTTCTCTTGTCGACTAGGGATGTCTACTCGAACGCAGGATAATTTACCTGAGTTGGCCTCTTCAATGTGCATTTGAAAATTCAGCTGCTCCTGTGGAGATAACTATATCGAGCCTACTACCAGGCTACTTAACCAACGAATGAGTGAACATCTACCAACTTGGTATATAAAGGGTAAGAGAAAATCTATTCGCAGTTCTATCTTGGCACATCACGTTGATAACGGTCATGCTGTAGATAAATCGAAATCATTTCGAGTTATCTATCGTATACCTCCATCATTTCCCAACGGAGTTAGTTCCCGCCTCCTACATATAACTGAAGCCCTTGGAATTCGTACATATAACCCCAATTCACGTGTACACAAGAAATTCGTAACCCACCTATCCCTTCCATGGCCAGTTATAACTGAACTAATGAATTTGTTTTTGAAATTACTTCTATTATCATTATTTATTTATTTTATTCTATTTTTGTTATCGTTGACCTTATTTCCACATACAGTCCCATGGTTGCCGGTGACCAACAATCGGTTCATACACCATTTGTTCACTCAGGATACTGGAGCTCATGTTCACCATTGGTTTGGAATCAGTGTTTATCAACTCCCCTAGGTGGACACTCCATATTCACCAACCCGGTTAAACAGCTGGACACTCAATCCTCATCCTCTCAATTTCGTAAACAAAATAGATACCTCGAGAATGGTATCATCCATTTAGCTACTGAGTCTTTGTATGTTCAGAATCATCATCACCTTCTTCTTCTTTTTCTTCTTCTTCTTCTCTTCCTCCTTCCTCTAAACCATCTAATTTGATACCTACATTCTGTCTATGTTGCATATTCTCGCTTCATTTTAATTAATTAATTCATTCATTCATTCATTCGTCCAATGAATCACCTACCCTTGAATTAAAATTTAACTAAATAATGATGTTCAATCAACGTCGTGCCATATTAACTACTTTCCAAGTGGAAATATGTAGGTCATAAAGATTATCGCTAATTGTGTAGGCAATTAGAACCACATTTCAATATCACATTCTTTATAATTATTCAATTGACTAAGCCAATTTATTTGACCACATAACAACAACTTGTATACATTGTTGATAGTTTTGTTGGAGTATACTCTAATTTATGAAGTATCGTTTGTTTTGTAATTTTATTCTCATTCAGTTGTTCGAGAATTGTGGTGTCTCATTGATGGTGCTTTGGTCAATGGTGAATCGGTACACGTATACATCAAGATTGTTTCCGAGAAGTGATCCCTATCCAATGGAAACGTTATGCAAAATAGAGAATTCGATTACAATGGGTTGGACTCAGTGTTGTTACACCCACCAATGATAGCAATGAATACGATAAATTTCATTAGTGAAGTTAAGAAATTGTGTAAACCATGTTTATTTCAAAAAGTGGAGATGATTTGATTTCCAGAATGATTTTCTGTTGTTTTGAATTTTCGACAGAAGTGGAGCTACTGAGACATTTATGAGCACTAGACGTCGCATCTCTTCGTCTAATCTCACATTTGATAATGCGATGAAGCGACACCACCACCATTGTCATCATCGAGTTACTACCTCACAACTGACCCGGTTGAACTACACTGGTCACTGCTTCTCACTAGAACTCCAGGGTGTATCTCTTGAAACCAATCACTAATGAGCATATGTTGATTAGTATCAGAAATACGGAAAGTTTCATTCATCTAATGAAAATTTGAATATTAATATTAATATTCAACACATCAATATCATGTCACCAATCATATTATATATTATATGAAACGGATACTTTTATTTTGTGTAGGCGATCATGTTAATGAAACGAAATGAGAACTATTTAAGTCTTAGTGCAAATGACTTTTGCCAATATTCATTCAGGAGTAAGAAAGAAATGAAAATGAATTCTGTAAGTTATGCTTAAATATTATGATATTTTAATAGATCAACATAGTTGGTAATGTTATGAATTACTTGAAGCAAGTTATTCTATTGACATCAGTCATCTTTATCTTAGTAAATAATGATGGTAAGCGATAGTATTTCATTCATTTCATGTTGTTATACATAAGTGTAGCCGGATTGTCTTGTTTTGTTTTGTTTTGTTTTGTTCTCATGGATACATCTATTGACTAATAATGTTATATGTATATGTATATATGTATCAGAAAAGGTTTTGTGAAGATCATGAATCAACTGAGGCCAGACCATCATGGAAAACCTGTAAGCACTGGATGGCCGTTTCGTCTTGGAATGGGACTCCTCAATGGTGCGCATCCACAACATTGTACAATGTAGCACCTAGATCATCTACTGTATATAGGATATTATGCAAAATCTTAACTTTCAATAGTTGTTCACATTTATAACTAGTTTATCGAACTGGTTATATAACTGGTTATGTAACGTATGTAACGTATCATTACACTAAACATTTTATTCAATAGAAATACTTAGATAAATTTCTAGTCTCCATTCTTCTCAAAGACAACATGATATCCTGTACATTGTGTACAGTACATATATTCCGATCGATGAAATTATTAATTAGGCAATAGAGAGCTATTCACAATTTGTGGTATAATGCACATCTTACATTGATGTATTTGGACTTAATCACTCCTGACTCATGAACTTTACATTCATTGCATTGAACATTGTTGTAAATGATAAATGTTTGTCATTGTTGTCATGTTCAAAGGGTTATGGTGTGGGATTTTGTAGATTCATGGCAAGAAAAAGAACATATTGTAAAACACATTAGTCTGATATGAGAAGTTTGAAGGGAATATAACTGAGATTCTAGGCGAACAAATAAAGTTACTGGTTATATGACAGATTAGAAAGACACTTTTGTAGTAGTTTACATCATTTATCAGTTGAATGAGTCTAAGTGTTTTGTTTGTTTTACAGTTCCAGATGGAGTGATCGACCTGAAACGCTACCATTTCGGAATTGGTTAACCAAATTTGAAAATGTATATCGATATATATCTGAATCATGCTATACATTGAAAGAAAATAAACTTTATTTTCCAGTGATGATGTTTCGTTTTAATAACTTCACTATATATCTTAATCAACTTCATGAGTAGTACAGTAATAGTGTTGAACTACGTTAACTAACTTAATCGATTTCTAAACTATGATCATATTGCTCTACTTTCATCAAACATTCATCAATAACACCATTAAGATTAACTAAATAATTCAGCAACATTACCTATTCATACACTTTTGTAACTAGGTGATAAAATAGGGAATGTGTTGGGAGAATAAGCATTCATTGCACACGATCATCTACTACTTAGTTAATTCAAATAGAATGCAAAGTATGAGATTAAGAGAATAAACAGATGACTTTAGTAAGCGATTGTATTAAAGTATAATGTCATTTGTGAATTTCTATTGAAATGGATGAACAAAATGAATACAATGTCCAAGTGAAAATGATCACAGACATTTCCCCTAATCATGCAAACGATTATGATTCGGAGTGTTGCTGATATCCACACTGATTCAGGTGAACTAATCGAGGCACTGTTTTCAACTTTATTAGTTATATGGTAATCCAATGCATATATAAAACAGCCATCCCTACGTTTAGTTTCTCTGTTACAGCGATATTTAATTCTTAATCAGACACTGTAGGTGAGTACTTGGTTTCAATGTATAAAATCAATGGGAATCAGATTTACATTGATTCTGTGAAACACCCAATCTTTTCTATTCATCATAAGTGATCATAGTGAAATCTTCCCGATCGATCTACAATTAGACCACATTTCGCATAAGTAACTACAACAACAAATGATTGACGATAGTACAAAGTTGTTTTGTTGTTGTTGGTGAAGATAATTTGGAATTTATTTTTAATAGGCTTGATCATTCCAGATCAATCAGTCTATTTAGGTCAAGTAGTCTCCGTATCCAACGTTACTGAATAATACAATCAGTTAGTTTGAGAATCAAATTACAGTAACCTAAAAAACTATTCAGAATATGACGATAAGTCTACGTTCGTATTTTGCTTCTAGAATATTTAATCCATCGTCATTTTGATTTAAAAATGGTATAATTCTACAAACAGTTGGTTTTCGTTATGGCAAACCACTTGTGGATAAGTCTGTGTTTACTTTGATTTTAATCAAATTAGAGATAGAATGTGTAAAAACTTCATTTGCATACGTTTAATCGAATCAGATCGAAGTTTATTTACCTGAATACATAAAGATTGGTACGAAGGCGCACCAAATATATATGCGCGACATAAATCATTCGATATGTGTGAGGTGTGGAATATTGTTCAGGTACCCAAACCAAATCAGGTGATTTTGTTAGGAGAGCAACTTAAGGAGATGCAGTCCCATGGTAGCCGGTGACCAACAATAGGTTCATACACCATTTGTTCAATCAGGATACTGGGGCTCATGTTCACCATTGGTTTGGAATCAGTGTTTATCAACTCCCGTAAGTGGACTCTCCATATCCACCAACCCGATCAAAAAGCCGGACATTCACTTTTCATCATCTCACTTTCGTATTTGAAACCCATTCGTCGATAATGCAGTGAGTAGGACTGGCAGTGGTTGTATGTGTAGTAAGCCCTATCCACTACTATATTATTTGTCTACTCACTGTAATTTAGACAATTAATCCACTATGCGAATTTCTGTGTGAGTCTGATTGAGCACATTTCCGCACATCAATCTTTAACCTATTCTCCCATTGGTTGTAATACACAGACAATCAATAATTCATTCATACTTGATTAACATTGATTATTATATATATGGATTTTAACATTCACACATACACACACACACACTTTTGCTTTCTCTGTGTGCTTGCTTCCTGTACGCTTGCGGATTTTACCAATCCTTAACAACAAACTGTCTCTATAACTGATGTTCAGGCTTTTGAATGATCTCAAATCAATCCATAATTCGAGTAGGAGATTAAATACACAGTTAACGGGATACTATTTGATGGA